CATGTGTGGAGGCAGATTTGCCCCGTGCCCGGCCCTATTATTTGCGTTCACGATTGTAGGCCGTGGCAAGGCCACCGGGCAATAAATCGATCCAGGAGCCAATTCCGCCTCGATCGGCTAACGCCGAATCGCTTCCGTGCTGCTTCCGTGCGCGATTTTATCGGAATCCTATAGAGGGAATCGGTTCCCTCCCTGTGTTCTCCGTGTGGCCCCACTGGCTCTGTACGCCGTTTACCCTCGCCCTTGTCCTCTTCGCTCCTCCCCCCTCCCCCTCGCCCCCCCCCTCCCCCTCGGCCGTCGTTGTCGGCGTCGTCGTCGTTGTTCTTGCCGACGCCCGCCCGCCTGATATTTTATACATTAGCGCGCGCGCGCCTTCTCTCTCTCCTAGCACCTTGTAAATCAATTTTTGCTCTGTCTCCTGAATCGAATTTAAGTGTCTCAGTGGGATCGGAAACGGCGACCGCAGACGGGACAGGGAAACGCTTTTGAATACGAAACAGATTCGCTCTCTCGCATCGCCGGTGGTTGTATCGTTACGGTCGCCGTTACGGCAGCGTTCTCTTATGAAATCTGCCCTCGCGAACGAAATGCTGTTGTTCGCGCGGAGAGCGATCGCGTATGTTCGGCTCGCGTAATCGTCGGGCAGTGCGCCCTTGATTTAACCCTTTAACGCCTACTGGTAACTGGTAGTTAGCAGAAACGCATTTAAGAATCCATAACCGAAGTGAGAAAAGAAGATATTTTCGTTTTCTTTGCACCTGCACTGTAAAGGTGAATTCTTTTTCTAAAAAATAATATATAGATTGTATGTAGATTGAGTTCAGTCTGTTTTTAGCTCAGTTTTAATGATAACATGTTTTGTCAAATTCCAAACAGGCATAGTTAGCATTGTTACTGACATCTAGAAGTGCACTATAAATGAATAGATTGGTATCTATTATAATTTTCTGTTAAAAAATTTGTTATACATTTGGAAGCTTTCTCAGATGCAAAATGTGAAATTAAAAGAGTACAGAAATTCAAAATGGCCAATTCAATGTGGTGGACATGAAAATCAAGCTATTTTCGTGAAACCTACAGCTGACCTACAGTTTTTATGCGGCGAGAAATGAAGGGATGATTGATTATCTAAATGTTGATCTATAAGATATTCTTCTGAAATACGAGTAAGCTTGACGCTCTGAATGATAAACTTCACTCACAAATATAGTAAAGTTTCAGCTGAAAAATGTCAAGCTGACTATCAGAGTTATGTCGTATAGACTACCCTTCATTTTCCTCTGTACAGGTTGCTCATTTCGTATATGTTTTCAGGATCCAAGTCATATTTACCAGTAAACAAAAAACTAACGATAAAAAAAACCAATATAAAATTCTGATATTTTTTTTGGTTATCACTACTTATAGTCTCAGTTAAAAAAAAACTCAAATTTTATTCTTAAAACACTTATAAAAGAGTCGGGCGTTAAAGGGTTAAAGGGCGTTAAGGTACGGGTAGCAGCGCGCCGCCGGGACACTTAATTCCGGACGTTCTCATCGTTTTGGCCTTTAAACACGAACATTTAAACTTTCAACACAGAATATATTTCCTATAATGAAAATTTATATATTCGTATCGGTGAAGATCAAAAAATAAAAATGTAATCTAATTCTGGACATTTTTTCTTGTTGGTTCGGTCTTTAAATACGGGTTATTAAACTTTTGACCTTAAATTTTGAATATATATCCCATATTGAAAGTTTAAATATTCGTATCTGAAGGTATCGACGATTGCGAGGGACTGAGATCGATGTTGAAAATCGCACGAAATCAGCGAATACGTTCATAAATCTTCGCGAGGTCACGAGAGCCCCGTTGCCTCGTTCCGCACACTTTTCGACTCGTCTCTGCCACGCATCGACGCGCACTGACTTGATGCTATTTGTTAACGTATTGTTAACCGTCGCCGCGCGGGGACGCGTTAACAAAGAGATATCATCCGGAGAATGAGATTTATCAACCGCGCTAACACGCGGTATTCACCCGATATAATTGCTGTAATCCCGCCACTGGAATTACGCACGAAAGGGTCGTCGTGTGCTATTCACGTTGTTCAAGAAGGGGTATAATTGTGCTAGTTACGCGATACAATGAATGATGATGCTCGTGCACGGGGACGGGGCGGATAGCGATGGCAGCGGCGGATTTGAACGAGACTCGACTAAGCGTGCAATCCGATACTCCTAGAAGAGCCGATACGAGGTTGCTGCTTCCTATTCGGACGCGAATTAATCACTCGTTATATTACTCGATATCCGATGGAGGCGCGTATCGAATTTAACGGCCTTCCGGATTATGAACTTTTGCGCGCCGCGCGGTGGCATTGCGTTCTCCGCTCTTACTCGGCGCTAAGCGCTATTAAATACACGTCGAAGCGAAGAGCTTTCGTTGCGCGTTAACTAACCAAGTAAATAACTTTTAATCGTTTCAGATCTTTCTCTCTCTCTCTCTCTCTCTCTCTCTCTCTCTCTCTTCTTCTTCTTCTTTCTCACGAGTGGTGTCTCGCGTTCGCATTATGCAAACCGATTATACTCCCTCTCCACTTAATTAATTCGCCGTCACAAAAATCCCGTCGTCCACGACAGCTTGATAATCTATTATCATCCGTGAGGATTCCCCGCTATTATCCGCGCATTTGCCGCGCTCTGAAATAAAGACACGGGCCCGCGCGTATCGCCTCGCAGCGCTCCTATGTAAAATACGGCCGAGTAATCCGCGATACCATTGTTACCGCGAGAGCACTGCGCGAATATTATATTACTGCTGGCGAATGCAAGAACTCTGGCCGTTCTTTCGGAATAGAAAGGACGTCGAGTGCACGCGCGGGCGGGGGGAGAGTCCTGCGGGTGTGTGTATACGTGTGTGTGTGTGTGTGTGTAGGATGGCTCTCGTATTACTCGCTCGCTAAACACGGTCGCGTGTGAGCGAACATCGCACAGCGCGTGCAAGGTCGGACAAAGTCGGCGGCCGCGTTTCGCTCGCGTAATTGCATACGTTTCCGCATTCCGGTAATCCGCTTTGAACGAGCGCAAAACAACGTGTCAATTTTTGCAAGATGTCGCACGTTAAGCTTTCCATTCCTCTCTCTTTCTATCTTTCTTTTAAATTTGTGCGATCAGATTCTTCATTCTGGCGCAGACTGCTCTCGTTGCGCGTTATTTTTTGCCACCGTCGTCACGTCGTTACAATTATTCGTTGTTGCTGCAGATATTATTTTCTCTCTTGGTATGATGAAGGTGTTACTCTTCTCTCTCTCTCTCTCTCTCTCTCTCTCTCTCTCTCTCTCTCTCTCTCTCTCTCTCTCTCTCTCTGCAAGAGACATAAAAGCGACACGAGCACGCGATATATTTACGCGTGTGGCATACAAGATACGTAGCGGCTTTAACGAAATCAGAGAAACGGGAAACCACGCGAGGCTAACGCACGCCGTCCAGCTCCAGTCTCGTACTCGTTAGCCCGCTCGAACTAACGGACGACGGTGCGAGGTTGGGAATAGCGTAGAAAAATGCAGCTTTAAATGCGCCGCTAGATACCAGCGAAACGAGATTTAAACGTGTGTCGGTGGGGGAGAAAGTTAGAAGGCTTTTATTCCTAACGCCGGTCAGCCGGTCAGCCGTTACGTGAACTTTCGCGGAGAAGCGAGACAGAGAACGCGGGCGAGAGCGAGTGACGGAGAAAATAAAACCAGGCGGCTAAACTCGCGCGAATCTGGCGAACCGCATATAATTTGTCGCGATCGGTTGGTTCTGGAATTTGCGAGTATGGTAGTCTTTTCGAAACGGAATCGTGAACTTGCTCGCACGATAAATTTCCGAAAATTGCCGATCGTCACGTGCGCGTATCCTGTTGATTTTTGCCAAGGTGGAGAAGCATATTTCTTTCTCTCTCTTCCTCTCGTTTCAGCAGTCTATAAACTTTGCTCGTCGCTGCGTTCTATGCAAAGCCAGTGGAACGAAGACGCCTTAGATCAGACTTGTAGATCACGTCGATACATAACGTATCGACGTCGAATCGCGTGATTGAATCGTCGAAATGTTACCCGGGAATTTATCGCCCGCCACACGCGCGCGCGCGCGCGCGCACGCACATACACATGCGCGCGCACACACACACACACACACACATATACACACACGCGCGAGGGACATGAGATCCCCCTGGAAATATCGTCTTCTTTTATCACATTCTTAAAACAAATGTGCCGGCGATTTTATGGTACGCGTACGCCGTATGGCATCGCAAACAGCGCGGGTAACGCGATGCGCGCTCGGAGCATTATGGAGATAGAAGTGATGGCAGCGTTCCAAATATAACGAGATTATATTTCTTTTATAGCGGAAAACACGAGGAGTCTTGCATGCATAATGCGCCCTAAATACGCGCGTCTTCCTCGCCGCGATGGTGCGCCTGCACCATCGTAAATTCGTAACGCCGTCTGCGATTTTCCTTACACATCCAGCGCGTCACAAGGATATTAACACGCTGTAACAAGCGCCCATTGTGGAAACGGTCGTACGTGACGTGCGTGTACAAATTGAATGAGACACGCGCGGACGCGCGCGCACGCGGACGTGTATTCTCCCGCCGAGGGAGCGGCGAAATAGTTAACGGAGAACATTCAAAACTTGCACACTTGCTGTCAGAAATATGTCATTGTGTTAAGCAGTAGTCGCTTAACAGAAAACGCACTTATTTCCACAGGAGGAAACGAAGAAAGTGGACGTTTTAAGATATATTTCAAATATCAATGAATTGTTCCGGATATTTTGACCTTTAATTGTCATTCGTTGAAGTAAAGCCCGAGAGAAACTTGCCTTTTAAGAAATTTCTTCGGTGTGAAAACAGAGTGAAAAATCTTTCTCATATTTTAGATATCTGGATTATCATGTGCGCTAAACACTAATTCTGTTAAAACTTTTATTACATTGTATAATAATTTTATATTATAATCTTTTGCGCATTACGCTCCTAAGAGGGGCTCTTAAGGTAGTGGATCTAAAGCGCGTAAAAATCAATATTACATTATCTCTCTCTCTCTCTCTCTCTCTCTCAAATTTTTATCTGCTACATCTTATTAGCGCTTATCACTGAGCGACATCTGCTTTCTTATCGCGGCAGCAATTCCGACTCGTATCTACGCGCAGCGCAATTTTTCCGAAAACTTGCGCACGTGTAACGGAGGCATTTCTGATGCCCGGTATACGTACGAGGCTTCGCTCTGGCGATATTACCGCCGCTGTTTCCACCGCCCCCCTTCGGGCGGTATGGATCCGACGGGCCGCAGGAAAACTCAGTTTCCGCGATGCGGAAGTAACTTGAAGTCGGCACAAAAGCGCGCGCCGGCGACCGAGCGAAAAAGTACTCGTTGCTGCGGGAAATTGGCGTTTTGGATTATTTAGCGGCGCAAAGCGGACCGGATAAAATGTGCTTTATATTCGAGACTGGCTTAGAACGGGCGTCGACAAACGTTTCCGGACGTTGCCAGTCCGAACTGTCGCGCGCTCTCTCGTTTTATTTGTTGCGTATTTTCTGCGCGAAATTATCCATTTGCCGTGAGATAATTCGCACGTGCGCCCTTCCCCGCCCGCTCGCCGGCTCGCTTGCTCGTTCGAGTGAGCGGAATTATTTCCATTGCGCTATTTTCGGTACTTAGGAGCATAATATAATAATGTCACATACATTACACCACTTGGAGCGTACAAAAAGCCACTCCCAATCCCGGGCGCCGCAAAAATATGCGCAATCTCCAGCGAACTTTTTGACGTGCGCGAGAATAACAACGGCAAACTTTTTGACAAGCGAGCGGCAGAACATTACGCGCGTTCCGCATTTTTCATCGTGTTATTAAATATCACTTCGTGTAAGAGGGATCACGTGTAAACAAAACTTTTTAATTACCCCTATTTTATGAGCGGATTTTACTCGCGTTTTATTAACACGCGCGCTCTCCGAGAGATATCGATGAGAGACCGAGAGGCAGGGAGAAAGAATCGCGGGGCCGGGGGGGGGGGAGCAAGGTGTCTTTCTAAATCGAATTCCCGGCGGGGAAAAATCGGCTCCAAATTGACCGGAGAATTCGCGAGGGCAGGCGGCGAGGGGCAGGAAGCGCTCAGGCCACCTGGCCTGCCGACGTGTGTACGCGCGCCTTAGGTGCATTCACCGGGCGACGTAGCGTGGCAGGAAGAACGGTTCGTGCACCCGTGAGCGCGAACATCCTGATTCCACGGCGTCGGGCTTTGTGGCGACGGTTTTCTCTCGTTTCCTTCGCGCCCCGGTCCACAGCGGGGGAGAGATTCTCTTCCGCGCGACGCTCGCGCGCGCGCAAGCCCGGCCGGAAGCCCGGTACAAAAGCTCGCCGGACGGATGCTGCCAAGCGTCGCTGGCGACGTTAGTAGCGCGACCACGTAAGAATAGGTAGTCGGCAGGAAATACGCGTTTTTCGGCTATCCATCGCGCGTCCATTGTCGACGCGCGCGCGCTCTCTTCAGCGGCGAACTTAATTTTCTCGGCTCCTTCGTCGCCGGAGCCGTCGTCCATCTTCGGCTTTCCTTCATATCTCGTGTTCGAATCCCTTCTTGCTCCGCTCGTGAGCTCACGTGAGCTGCATTACGTGACCGGCCGTTGATTATCGGTCAACGCGGCGGCTCGCATCGGCAAATAGCCGTTATCTCCGGTAAACAAGCGCGCTCCGATTCTCAATTACGCGGTAATTAAAAGCCGGCCCTCCTGTGTCCCGATGATGCGAGCCGCGGGAGTGATTTCGCGAGTGGCTCGCTTATTTTCCTCGCGACGCACGGAGAATATCGCTTTCTCGTAACGACTCGCGCTCGTGAGGATTCCGGCTCGACAGAGACGGTCCTCGAGCTAATGTCCCCGAGATAGATCGCGCAGCATCTCGCGCAATTTACGGGGTGTCTCCTGCCTACAAATGGGCCGAGGCGACGAAACACGCGCCGCGCTGATGAGGACGAGGATGAGGACAAGCGGCGTGGAAGAAGAAACGAGGGAGCCGTAAGGCTGCTGCCGCGGACAGCCGGACGAATCGCAGTTCGGTGCCGCTACATGGGTGCTCGTGGATATCGCGGTCGAAAGGTCAGCCGGTGATAAACGAGGCCGTTAATCTGCGCCCCGGATGTAAGAAAATGAAGTTTCCTTCCCGCGCGCGCCCGCGGCGCTTTGTTTCGTGCGGACGCGCGCTTTATACGCCGTAAATTAATCCGACTGCCGGCGGCGCGGCGATGCGAGCGCGCGTGCGTGCGTGCGTGTGCAGGTAAACCGGTAACCGCAATTGCAGCAGCTCATCTGGGACCGCTAAAATCGACAGGAACGCCGGCGCCGCGCGCTGGTGCGATATTAATATCGATATCGCCTAAACTGTTGTTCGGCCGTCGGCGATTCGTGCGAGAGCGAGCGCAAATCGATCGCGTCCGAGGAAAGCGTATAACTTGACGCTATTGAATTCGCCGGCGCATCGGCTGGCGTAGACGAAACTATTGCGCTCCGCATAGATCGCTTCCGACGTAACATGAAAATGCTTTTTTAGGGCCGGCGCGAAGCCGCAAACATTTATTTGTATTTTTTCCCTCGCCGGATTTATATTCCCTTTCTCGGTCTCCCTCTCCGAGGCTGCTTTGTAATAGCATTCTGACTGATTCGACGGACGACACGACGCGCGCGGAGATACATTCCTCGCTCTCGTTCTCGCCTCGAAGCGAAGCGTGACGCTACGACACGTTGTAGCCGGTAATGACAGAGAGAGAGAGAGAGAGAGAGAGAGAGAGAGATTAGTCGAACGCGGTCGAAACAATCGGTCGATCAATTTCTTTCCACTTTAAACTCCACCTTCGGGAACGGGATTGTCGCTACTACTTCGTTGAGAATAGGCTCCAATATTTTCTGCCAAGAGTAGTCAATCTTTTCAGATATCAAGGGGGGGTTGGTAATGTTCTTCGATCTATATATTCTCACGTAATTTTTCCTCAACCTATCTGTGAGCGTATTGCTGGGATAAAAGTGCATTGATTTCTTGTTTACTTGCGACTGTAATACTTTGCTCATCGTGCAGTTGACAACGTTCGTGGCAAAGTAGTGTCTGATCTGCAAAATACACGGAGAGATGAGCGGCGTCTGATAGCGACGCGTGAAATCTATGTAAATCTCCAAAGAATTTGTTTGCTCGCCCAACGGCGTTCAAACGGCGAGAAGTTGCGGTGTTAAATCATGCTTACCATGATGTTGAAGAAGAATTCCGTGGGTGTTATAATTATGCTGCCTACCATTTGATCCGGTATACTCTCGGGATTGTCGGTCTTGAAACGGAAATCACGGAAAAACGACAGTCCCACAAACCTCATGGGCGTTCTTATCATAGAAAAGCCTTGGCCAACTTCATTCGTAGTCTTCCGTGTGTCCATGAGCGCTATATCTTCTATATCCATAACGAAGCCATCCTCCAGGTAGAGAGTTCCTTTTATATCGTAGCTCAGCCCGTCGTCGATGCTGCGCGAATCAAACTTTGTCGGTTATCGAGTTCCCACGAGTATCGCGTCTTTTCACCGCGGCTGCGGGATATCTTGAAAAAATTGCACGCTCTTTGACGGACGCGTGATTACTTCGTTAAATTAGAAAACGCGCGGAAGAAAACAGAACAGTCTGAATTAACGTGGTCACGAACGTAAGCGTCTTGCTTGAAGAAGATCCAATTTCTGGCTCCTATTTAGAAGCAAACGTTCGATCCTGAGAGGCAGAAATTCCGTTTCTTTCAGCCAGCCAACGCGCGTATTTCGGCATATTTCGCGCTTATCGCCACATTAATTCGACCGATCATTGTTTTTTCTTTTTCCATACATGGAACACATATGTACGAGTATTTTCCGCGATTCCGCGGGATGTCGATTTTACGTTATCGGAATGGATTTATTTGTACATGCGTGGAGGAAAAAGGTTTGATCGAATGGGCCAATTTTCTGGTGAAATATAAACGATTCGGTAATTCCGATTGAAAATACCAGAATCATGCGTCCAAGTTAACCGGAGATCTTGATAAGTTAGACCGAGAGAATTTTTATTCTGACTTCAACCGAATCGGTTTGTGAATCGTACATTCATATTTCACCGGGCAAATTCTTTCATTCGACCATCTTTCTCCGTCTACGTCGTCCGAAATGCGATAAAAGAGGAACAGCGAACGAACGAGTCAGTGCGTTATCGTTATTGACTGAGTGCTTTTACTTACTCGTAGTCTATACTAACATCGTAATCCGGCAAATTTGAACATCCATAGGCTTTGATTTTCTCCCAAAACACACTCTGCATGACGCGTAAATAGTTATTTACCTCTTGATCTTGCATCGTTTGCGCGAGGCACAGCTCGACGACGATCGAACACGCGAGAAAGATACATGGAATATTCATCGTTCGTCAGCGAGCGGCAAGACTTTGCAGTCATTAAATCTGTTACAATCCAACTGAGCTTTCCTTGTTACACATTTCTTGTCTTCATCGATCACTAGCCTCGCTCTCGGATATCTTTTATCGTTCAAGACGTAATTAATCTGCGATAAACACGATAAACAAGTTTTTTGTAGCCGCGATTGCACGTATCTGAGAGTATTTACATCATGCAATTAGCAGCTCGTGTACGCGACGCGATCTTTAGATCTCTTTCAAAGGCGAAAAGCGATTAATATCCGCGCTGTTCGTTAACTGATTAAACGGTCGTTCGATCGTCGGACCGATGATTGTGCTAAATACCCATAAAGAATCGCCGAATACAGAATGTCAATGTGATTCGATTTCGGCGCGTCTGAAAACCGCGCAGCGATGACCGCGCGGCTGAATTATCTGCTGGCGACGGTCGGTAAATCCGTTCCGTGACTTTGAACTTTTAATTGAAGCTTTTAATTGACGAGATATACATCGCGATATAATTCGTAACGGGCTCGCATTCAAAGCGCTTTCAGCAGGTGCGCGGGCTATTGAAGCGGACACGGATATTATTCATGCGCGAGAATTGACTAACTCGGCGTATCGCGCGAATCTTGATAATCGAACGGCTTATCGCGATACTGCGGTATGCGAATGTCACTTCGCTTACGCATGCACACGCGCGGTGTAGCTTACCAACGTATGCACGCTCATTTGATAGATGAATTTTTGCTCAAACCGCGCCGCGTCGCGCCAGCGTAACCGTGTGTGACGACGTGTTGACGACAATTGCGACGGCGTTCTTATTGAAATAGCAGATTCGAGTAGAGAGATTCCGACTTTGGACGGACAAGTCCAATCAATTGGAATTTCCAATTGAAACTTGTGAGAAGCGCCAAGAGCGAAGACGTATTAAACCGTGAAACACGTTAACGAGACAAAATTCCAAATAGTTTTTTAACTATCTGCCGATGCATAAGCATAGCACACACACACACACACACGCACGTATCGCCGATATACTTTTGTCTGAAAAACAAACCGTTCGTGTGTCCCGAATACCTTTCCAAGCGAATTGCGGCCACGTACTCGCAACTGTGTGTATATCGATGTCATGCACGGTAGAAGGTCAGCTGACGATGATCGATTTTGTGCGAAATTTGAATCCTCGCCCGACATTTATTCGGCGTCGGTAACGCCGAAACGAGATGTAAACTTAAAATTCGACTTGAAGATCGCGCTTAGTGGCGCGCCGGAATTTCAACGTCCACGCCGTGCGACGTTAAATTTCACGACGTGAGTGAATGCGAAAGATTTGACTTCATTAGTTCTGGACTCTCGTATTACATATTCGCTTTACGTCGATAAATTCTCCTCGGCGCGCCGGGAATGCGTTCCCTGTCTGCGCGCGTGTGCCATATAAAATAACGTTAGAACACAAACAAAAAGAACGTCGTTAGGAAAAAGAAAGGAAGGGTGGGGGGGGGGGGGAGGGAAAGGCGGAGTCGTTATTGATTTCTCGAAAGTAGTGTCTCCCCGAGATTCATCGCGGTGGAAGAGGCATGGTAGATTCGTTAGTCTCCGGACGACGACCTCGGTTTCTTCAGCCGGGGGGACGTGAAAAAAAGGAAGCAACTCGGTTATGCAAAAGTGAGAAATTATGCAAAGTACTCGCGCAGGGTTTGACGCTGCTGGTAGCCGAACAAAGGGCGCGGCGGACGCGGGGCAAACGACGCGAGGTCGCGCGCGGCAGAAAGAGGGCGGGCAAGGCGGCGGGGGTTGTTTTTGTACGAGGCGGCGGGGGAGGAGGAGGTTATTCGGCGCAAAACTCTGACGCGCCACCTTCGTCGGGCGCGCGCAGTTGAATTATCGGGCCACGAAGTAGGACTTTGGGGCTCGAAACGCGTTAAATCTTAAGCTTCCCTTAATTCCAGAGCCACGACGCGGAAGCATTTCCGGAGCCGTTGGCTCAGCGGACCATGGTCGGCTATGCAAATTCTTTAGCGAGAATTCCCATATAAGCGCGCCCAGACGCGCAGTTTCGTCGTTTCCCCGGCAGCGAGACGGGATTCCTGAAGGATATTCGGACGTATTCGGCATCGGGAATATTTATATCGGCGGGTCGTCGCGACCTGGAAAAGCGCGATTATGCGGTACGACGCGACCATCGTCGCGTCGACGCGTAGATTCGCATCTTCCACTGCGAACGTTGCGTGTCTCTTGTAATATCCCTTCCATGTCCTCTCCTCGTGCTCTATCTACTAATTCATTTTATCTCACTTAATAATGCACCGAATGATATTCTCTCGCTCTGATATCCTTTCTAAAGTTTTCTTCATTTCATTTAATAATTCAATTAACGATACATTTTGTTGCAATGTCCTTCTTAAAATTCTCCTCCCCTCCACTCATTGATTATTCACTCGATGACGCCCGTTGCAAAATGTCCTCCCCGAAAATTCTCTTCGTCCAACGATTGACTTCAGCCCCGTCGCTCGGCGACTAGGAAAATAAATTGCGGATTTTCACAATTCATTGAAGCTGCGCGTCCGCGTTGTCCCTCGACGGCGACGACGGCGGTTAGTGAATCAACGTTTGCGTTGATAAGCTCGTACAACCGAGAGACGTCACGAATGCCTCGCGGAGGAGAGAGAGACCCTCTCTCGCTCGATCGGTCGTGTTCTCGCCGGCCGATCGAGCATGTTCCCCGGGCGAATGCAATTTTGAAACTTCTTAAAGACCTCGTCCTAGCCGGAATTAGCGGTGGTAGACACGTGTAAGTGCGCAATCATCGTGAACTTAAGAAGTTTATTCCCGAGAGAGTTCACTTATACAGAAGACGGTACACAAAGGCGTTGCCAGTTGCAGAGCTGCGTCCAGCCCGACCATTTGTAATTTTCCGCTCGATGTAGCATAAGCTTGCTGGCATGATTCAGAGTACTTTCAGCTATTTGCCGAAGCCCGCCAGAAGATATTTCATTTTGTCGTGAAAGGAGGGGGCGCGTCGCGCGGACGGAAGCGAAAACAGCTCGGTGGGAATCGAAGAATCTACGGACAAGAAGCTCGCAGAGAAGCTCGCGCTCTCCTAGTACATCCCTCATTGAAGCGCGATAGGACCCTCATTCTTCGCGTCGCGCGACGAAAACATACGGCGCAATAACACCAGCACGTCCGGCTATCCCGATCGTCGTCGCTCTTCGCTGGCGACCTGGCCGAAGAACAAAAATGCGCTCCCCGAAAACCACCGGTGTGATGACCAAGCGCGCGAACCTGTGCTCGTCAATAATTGCGATGCGACTGCGAGTTGACAGCTGTAATAATCCCGCAAGTCCTCCCTCTCGTCCTGAAAAAGCCGATTTTCCAGGGTAGTTTACTTTCACCCCCGCCGCCGCCACGCGGTGTGGAAAACGCGGGTCTCTCCCGTTGACCGGTTTGCGAGGGTAGCGCGAGGTCGCCGCGAGGAATCTTAAGAGGCTCTTTTAATCGAGTCTCACGGGCTGTTTTACGGTGCCTAGCACCGTGTACGGGGGATATCTTGGATTTCGTAATTTCTGCGTTGGCCGAGGTATGGCGCACGAAACTCATTTAGATCCGTCGATGTATCACGAGAGCGGCGGCGGCGGCGGCGGATCGGGTATAGAAAAGCGCGGCGCGGGTGTTTACCATCGAATTTGCATTGTAAAAGGAAAGCGGTTGCGCGATTTTGCATGAGAACCACCCATACGATTGCGAGAGTGGGCTTCCAATCGTGCATAATTCAGGTTTCCACCTCCGTTCATCCTGAACCTCTTCCGCTGAACCACCGATCCCGCGGCCCCGCCGTACCTGGAATCGTGCGGGATGGGAGATAAACTCCGGGCAGTATTTTATTGGTTAGGTGACTTACCCCGCGCGCTGAAAGTAATTTATGTTTTGAATATGCTAAAACTCCTCTCCTCTCTCATAAATATGAAACAAGTGTCACGAGTGTCGCCGCGAAGATAACGAATTTTACAAACGATTCCGTCTCTCTCGCTAACCCCCGTCCCCCCTCCTCTTAACTTCTCTTCCCCTCTCCTCTCCGCCGCTCCTCGCTCGAGTAGCTTCGACACGACGCAACGATAAATATGATCGCGATAAATGCGCGCCCGCACGCTCCATCGTGGCCGTAAGCTCCAATTTTTAACTTTTACTCTTGCCAGCAGCCCGTCGGCCTTCCTACGCTCGCTCGATCGTCGTAAGCCGATGGAATTAATTAAAAGAGGCAAGAGAAAAGCAAAAAGTTCCCTACCGTCTCGCGCTCTTACGATAAACCTCTCGTTATAATCCCACTTCACGCGTATGAGTCGAGAAAAGTGAAAAGTTCCGAGACGGAGCGCGCAGTATTTGCATACTCTGTAAGCATCGCGACTTTCGACGCGAGACACACACACACACACACACTCGCTCCTTTCGAGTGAATCTCACAGATGATGGACTCGTTGCATCTTTGCTCCTTTTAGCTTTTCGCATGTTCCTGCCCTCTCTTTCCCGCTCGCCCTTTCTCCGCCTGGCTGCGTTCTTCAGCCACGACAGAGAAACCGTCGCGTTGGCGTCTTTATCGCGATCCTTCTGAAAACACGCGGTCGAAAGTGCCGGACGCAGGCGCGGCTTTATCGAGTTGCAATTCGCGGCTCTCGAGTTTGTGTGTGTGTGTGTGTGTGTGTGCGCGCGCGCGCGCGCGCGGGAATGTGCGTGCCACTCCGCTCGTCCAAAGTTTGCGACGTCGATCATCGCTGAGAGTCACTGTGTGAATCTCGATCTCCGTCAGCGATGCGCGGTCGATGACGAACGCAGGATACGTATAATCGGATTAAATAAATTGATGGATGGCCGCGGTGGTCTCTAAATCCCAGGAGGGTGCGGCTGCGTGATGTACGCTGTAAAATAAATCTGCGTGGCGGATTACGGGGTGAGTGCGTGCGTACGTGCGTGCGTGCGGTGACGTGCGTTGAAGTTACGCGTGTATGGCCGTGTTCCGGCTGGCATTAATTCTTGGTCGAATTGTGTGCACCCGAATCGTCGCCGCGGTG